AAAAAAAAAAAGAAATCTGTATTGGTTCCCTTCCAATATTTGTCTGGATAATAATCTTTGAGTGTGTGGCAGCCATGAAGATGCACCTCTCAGAGCTCCAAATGCAGAGAGTGTAATTGACCTTATGCCAGAAGAAGTTTAAGAATTAGCTAGCTTACCAAAAGGAGCCAGGGAAATACCTCTGGGATTCGATTTTTTAGGGTATTTGATCAAGGGGACTGGAATATAAGTCCACATAAAGAAGAATTCATTGACTTGGGCGCACCACCTCAGAACATGAGATATAACACCCTATGAGAACCTTAGGGGATGTAGCAAATTGACTATTAGAAGCCTGGAAAAAGCTATGGCCAACACCCATGGAAATAGTAATGCCTGAGTTGCCCTTACAGATGGATTAAAGAGGCTAAGTGAATGGACTTGCTAGAATAAATTATGTAAGATCAAAAGACCAACCAAAGAATGATGTTCCATGGTAGGGACCCAGGGTACACATCATTCACTAAGGTCCTAGAGAAAGGACATGTAAGACTTGTATACTGAAAACTGCAGCAATAGAGGCTAATGTCAAGCTCCTGACATATGGTTATTCTTTGAGGAGACCAACTAGCTACTAGGTGGTAAGTCAAGTATATCAGGCTTTTTCCATCCTTAAGGACTAGGGTTTCATTTTCACAGAGATGGATACCTATTGTGAATATATATATGCTTTCCTGCCTGAAGATTTTCAGTAGCCTGGGACTTCAGAATACCTGATTCACAAGCATGGAAATACACACAGTGTAGCATCCAACCACTTCACGATGAAGAAGATGTGGGAATGGTCTGATAGCCATGGGAATCAGTGTAGTATCCATCCAGTACCATTTCAAAGCAGCCAACCTCATAGAAGAGTGGACCAATATTTATAAGGTGCAACTGAAGTGACAGCTCAGAGGCAGTTTTATGAAAGGATGATGTGCTGTTCTTCAGGGTGTAGAATATATAGTAAATCAGAGATATTTATGAATGCTGTATCCCAACAGAAATAACTGGGTGCTGTATTTCCATGGATCCGGGAGCCAAGGCATGGAAGGAGGAAAGGCTCCACTTAGCATCACTTCCAATGACCTACTCTGGGATTTTGTATTTCTCATCCTTGCAGCTTTGGGGTTTGGTGAAACTGGAGTTCTTGGTTTTCAAAAGGAGCACGTTCTTGCTAGAGGCCACAGCAAGACTGCTAGTGAACTAAAAGTTATAGCTGCCACTATGGAATTTTGGATTCCTTGTGACCAGTGACTAGTGGTCAAAAAGAAGAATCCCCACATTGATAGAGGTAATTGGTCCTGATCAGCAGGAGGAGGTAGGACTGCTGTTACAGGAAGAGGGCAGGGATATGTTTTAAGCCCACTTATCCATTTGAGTGCCTCCTGGTACTTCCTTATACTTTCTAACCATGAATGGACACATGTAGCCACTTCTGACTGAGAAGGGTATGATTACCAAGGATTTAGACTTCCTAGGAGTGCTGCTTTGGGTCACACTCCCAGGTAATAGAGCACCGAGACCTGCCATAATGATGGGTACAGGTGAGGAAAATTCAGAATGAATCATGGGAGAGCATGAGTACAGTAGCAGCCCTGAGATCTATTACAGTTATGAGGGCTGTGATTTGTCTTATTATCCTCCAACCTCTGAGTTTCCTCTCAGGAATAAAGGATAACAGGAATCATGGAGGAGTCTTTCTCTAATTGGTGAGGAGAAGTATATCTGTGTAGTGCAATGGGCAAATCTTTGGTGGCCACAAAAATGTACCTCTTAGATCTCTGACTGTGCGGAGCATAATTGACTTGTGGCTTCAGCTGCTGCACTCTGAAATTTGGCTCCACATTTACAATAAAGCCACACTTCCCACGTGTTAATCCTAGCTAATTACTGAGTTCACCAGGGGTGTGAGTCAGGACTGTTCCTGAGAAATTCAAGACTTCTCTGATGGGCGACTTTGGTGTGAAGGTTCCCTGTTAGCTTTCCAAACTTCCTTAGAATAGTTTCCCACTCAATCTGACTTTCATTCCTCTCTCTTTCTGAAGGTCATATCTGCACTGCAATCTTATAACTCTCTTAGGAAACCCTGGCTCCTTATTTTTCCTTAAAGGCACTTACTTCAATAAATCTGTTACATGTCAAATCCCCTTCTTGGCATCTGGTTTTTGGAGTATCCAGTCTGACAAGGCATGCATAGAGTGAAACTTACATGGCCAAAGACAATCTACTAGGAAGCTATAAGCCAAATAATTCTTAGAGATCACATAAGGCTAGAAATGACTCAGGTTTCTGAGGTCCATTGTGGAAAGATCTTGCTGGATAGCTGGGGCATAGAGATCTCAGAAGGATTATACTTTAGTACTCTGGTTAAACTAGTCTTAGAAAAAGGCCAATTTAGATCTTCTCTTGCAAGCTCAGAAACAAACATTATTGGACCAAACTGATCTTCAAGTAAGTCAATTGCCTATCAAAACAAACTTAAAACTCTTTAAAGAACAACTAAAACAAAAAATCCTAACATTCAGTCATGCAATGGTCATAATACCTGCCATTCAAATTAAAATTACTAGATTTGAAAACAGCCCAGAAAAGTGTAAGCCATAATGAAAATTAAAAATCAGTCAATAGAAAGAGATAAAGAAATGATGATTATTAGCAGATAAGGACTTTAGGACAGCTATTATAAAATGCTCAAGTATTTAAAGGAAAACATGAAAATAAGGAAGAAAGAAATGGAATACAAAAAAAATCTAAATGGAACTTCTAGAGCTAAAATATACAATATCTGAAGTGAAGTGAAAATTCACTGAATTGAGTCCAAAACAGATTAGATACTAAATGAAAATATCAGTGTCCTTAAGACATAACAATAGAAACCATCCAAATTGAAGCATAGAGGAAGATTGAAGTAAAATGAGACAAAATTGAAATAAAACCAAAATGATGACAGTGGGACAATCTTAATCATTCTGACCCATGTAATTGTATTTCCAGAAATAGAAGAAAAGGAAGAAAGGGACAAAAAATTATTTTAAAAAAAGAGTGGCTGTGAAATGTTTTTTAAAAATGTGATAAAAACTATAAATCCTCAGATCCAGGTAGGTCAATGAATGCCAAACAGGATAAACACAAAATTCCACCAAGGCACATAATAAATTGCCAAAACGCAGGATGTATTAAAACAAAGATTTATTACTATCCAGGTAGGGTGAGGCCAACAATTGAGGAGACTGCCATTGAAAACATAGTTTGTTATATTCTTAGATCTCAAGAGAAAGGGATCACTCTATGCCACAGGGGACCACCTGGGCATACACCTGGGAAAGCACCAGGGTTGGTCGGGAAGCAGAGGGAAGGGCGGGGGGAACCTGGGAAAGAGCCTTTATCTTGGTTTCTATGGGAAGAAACGTGCAAGTCAGGGTAAGCAGTCTTAGGATTGGCTAGTTTGAGTAATTTCAGCAGGCTCTGGGATTTGGGGACTGTCCTTATTTGTCTCATACCTGGCCTTGGGGTGATTAGAGCAGAGGAATAGCAACCTGCAGTGTAAGAGCCTGATAAAGGATGTAGTTAGGATATTGCATATGAAAAGCATGCTGACAGGTGAGTTCTTTACTATCTCTAATAATTGGCTAGCCTTAGGAAGGAGCAGTCTCCTCAGGGTCAGTAAGATCTCAGAATGCCAAAGCATCAAAAATAAAGAAAATAAAAAGGTATGATTAATATGCAGGGATATGGAGAAAATTTTAAAGCAGAGGAAAACAAACCAAAGAATAGGAGAAAAATCACATATGTGATAAGGTACTAGTATCCAAGGTGTATCAAGAACTCTTAAAACTCAATAATACAAAGTCAGCCCAATTTTTTAGATGGACAAAGGACCTGCTGTAGACTGAATTGTGTTCCTTCACAGAATTCATATGTTGAAGTCCTAACCCCCCTTGTGACTGTATTGAAGATGAGGCCTTTATAGAAATAATTAAGGTTAATAAGATCATAAAGGTAGAGCCATGATCTAATAAGTGTCTAATTAGTGTACTTTTAAGAAGAGAACCCAGGGGCGCCTGGGTGGCGCAGTCGGTTAAGCGTCCGACTTCAGCCAGGTCACGATCTTGCGGTCCGGGAGTTCGAGCCCCGCATCAGGCTCTGGGCTGATGGCTCAGAGCCTGGAGCCTGTTTCCGATTCTGTGTCTCCCTCTCTCTCTGCCCCTCCGCCGTTCATGCTCTGTCTCTCTCTGTCCCAAAAATAAATAAACGTTGAAAAAAAAAAATTTAAAAAAAATTAAAAAAAAATAAAAAAAAAAGAAGAGAACCCAGAGATCTTTCTCTCTCTTTCTCTTCCTACTTCTACCAACCCCCATGTGCATGCCCTGAAGAAAGGCCACGTAAGGGCACAGTGAGGAGGTGGTGTCTGTAAGCCACGAAGACAGACTTCACCACAGCCCAACAATGCTGGTGTCCTGATCTTGGACTTCCAGCCTCCAGAACTGTGAGAAAATAAATTTCTGCTGTTTAAGCCACCCCATCTATGGTATTTTGTTATAGTAGCCTGAGCTAAGACAGGATCTGGACAGATATTGTTCCAAGGAATATAGAAAATGGCCAATAAGCACTTGAAAATATGCTCAACATCATTAATCATCAGGGATATGCAAATCAAACCCCCAGAGATTCAGTGCCACTCCACACCCACACATTAGGATGACTAGAATCCAAAAGTCAGACAATAGCAAATGTTGGAGAGGATGTAGAGAAATTGTAACCCTTATACTCTGCTGGTGGAAATATAAAATGGTGCAGATACTCTGGAAAAATAGTCTGGCAGTTCCTTAAATAATTAAACACATAGTTACCTTATGACCCAACAATACTACTCCTAGGTACATACCCAAGAGAAATGAAAACATATCTATATACACTGAAATTTGTACACAAATATTTATAATAACATTATTAGCAATAATTAAAAGTAGTAACAACCCAAATGTCCATCAGCTGATGAATGGATAAGCAAAATGTGGCATTTCCTCGCAATGGAACATTCTATGGCCTTAAAAAAGGAATAAAGTAGCAATGCATGGTACAACATGGATGAACCTTGAAAATATTTTGCTAACTGAAAGAAGCCAGTCACAAAAAGACCATGTATTACATGACTCCACTCCTATGAAATGCCTGGAACAGAGAAATCTATAGAGACAGACAGAAAATAGGTTGTTAAAAACTTTCTCATACTTTTGCATATTGCCAAAATCAATTTGCTAGTATTTCACTTAGAACTTTCACATCTATGTCATGGGTGAGAATGAACTGTAATTTTCCTTTCTTACAATGTCCTTGTCAGACTTTCGATCAAATCATGCTGATTTAGTAAAATTGGTTGGGAACTGTGCAATCTATATAGCTATTCAGATATTCACTCCCCTTTTCTCTAAGAGATCATACATCCTTGCCTTTGTGATTTGTAGTAGCACCTATGAAGGAGGTACATTTCCTTGACCCACTGAGTAGAGATTGAACATCTGACTTGCTTTGGCAAATGACACGTAAATGGACAAGCCATACACTATGTCTGAAAGGATCCATTATGTCTTTGTGCCATCTCTCTTGTTCTTTATCTTCTGACATTAGATGATAACAGTAAATCCCAAATAGTTCCTTCAGCTCGGATCACAGGGATGTGAGCCACAGCATACCCACAGCTTGGAGAAGAGCTGCAACAAATGTTTTGCATCTGAAGCGTAACATGAGAAAGAAATCCTCATTGTTTTGAATCACTGAGACTTAGAGATTATTTGTTTCCACAGAGTAAGATAGCAAAATTTCACTACTCTTCGAAAGATTTTATGTAAGATTAGTTTGTTTTTTTAAATTTGTTTGTTTGTTTATTTATTTATTTATTTTGAAAGAAAGAGGGAGGGAGCGAGTGAGAGAGGAGCGGGGGCAGGGGGAGGGGGAGAGAGAGAGAGAGAGGGAGAATGCCAAGTAGGCTCCACACTCAGTGAGGAGCCTGACGCTGTGGCTCTATCCCACGACCCTGGGACCATAACCTGAGCCGAAATCAAGAGTCAGATGCTCAACTGACAGAGCCATCCAGGTGCCCCAGATTATTTTCTTATTAAAATGATAAAATGTATCAGTGAAGCCATCTGGGCCTGGAGTTCTCTTTGTGGGAGTGTCTTCCACACTTCCTTCCCTTTGACCTCTCTCTCCATTCATTTAGTTTTCATGGTTTTGTTTCATAATGAAGTATTCAT